CTCTAGTTTTGGTTTTTTCTTTTCTTTTTTTTTTTTTTTTTTGTTTTTCCTTCGTCGTCCAGCGACATTTTCTGAGGTCAAAATATAGAGGAAAGGTATTTAAGTTGCTTGGATTTTTTAAGATCTCTCTCTCCCCCTTTTGGTTTTGCATTAATATCGGGCATTTCATTTTCCTGGAGTGCTAAGAAGGCGCAAACTCGTTTCCGGTTTTCAGTTTCCGGTTCGAACGGAGGAACACGAATAGTAATTTAAGTATTCGAGTATTTTGTTATGTACATTCTAAATTTTATTATGACAAGGATATACCCTATGTACGCATGTATATGTGTGTGTGTAATCTATACTATATAAGCAATAACAACATCGAGACTTATATAAAAGAAAACTCCATCGACTTGAGAGCGTGCTTATCTCTTCAATTTCAAAATCCATTTTTAGTTTCGGTTAACTTTTAGTTAAGCTAAGCAATTTTTTTTAAGGGAATATGAAAGCATATCAAGGCATATATAATAAGTTGTATTTTTCGTTTAACAATGTTATTAATAAAATAAATAACTGCCATTAAATGATAAATTTAATGGAAAAAAATAAATAGTGGGAGAAAATTAAGTGCAGTGCCTAAAAGTATGCCATGACTTAACAAGACATCATTGAATACTCTTAGACAGCCTTTCGGGTGAGATTCCGTCCTGGCACCTTGGACTATTGAATTGCTTGTTGTTAACCCACAAAAGCGAAATAAAATTGAAGAAATTCTCAAATTCCCACATTTGTTCGTTATGCATGTTATATTTATATTTTGTTTTAATTGGGTTTCTTGCATTTCGGGTTTGGCTACTCGAACTAAGGGCTGGCTGACCTGCTGGGCTGGGCAAGCAGCTAGCCCAGTTCAAAAATAGTTGATTTCCATTTTGTTTTATTGCTATTTTTGGCGATAAATCGTTTGCTCTTAGCCTAAGGTTTTCATTATCATTTTCCTTTTCATTTTTAAATATTTTTTCCACTAAAGTTTAATGTTGGGTTTTCTCGCTTAGGTACATGGTACATTTGTCAACTCTCTCTTGAATTTTGATTGCACTCATCGATTGCTGAGCCAATCGAGGGTAAATGTTAAATGGCGAAACAAGCTAGATCAAAAAGCACCTGAGGATTACCATTTTCTAATTGAGTTGGCTTCGGTTCTATATAGTTAAGTAGTCTGTGGGATTGTATCTTAGTATGTTTCCTTGGTGGTTTTCATCTTCAATGCGCGGTGGTTCACAAATCTACACAACATTCAAAAAATGAGGAGTAACTAGTTCCTAAGTAAATATAATAGTTTGTTATGTTTAAGTCGCCTTTTTTCTCCACTTCTCTTTCGTTTCGCTAGTTATTCACTAATTTATCAATTCCTGAATATACAATATATTGATTTAATTTCATGTTTCATTATAGATTGATTATATAGAGTTGTATTTTGTTACTGTTAAATCGATTGATGTTGGAACCTGTTGGGGGGAGAAGAAGGTTAATATTGTCATTAGAATTTGAGGTTTTTAAGATTATATATGTGAAAGGAGTTATAAATTTGGAAAGTTAAAGAACTAAAGTTGTGTTTTAAACTGTCAAAAAATGCTTTACTTTCATAATTTTATGCATTTCCTTTGTTACTCCCAGCAAATGATAGTTTCAAGTCCTTGAATCCTTGAACTTGTTAAGTCTAAAATCTTGGAAGCAACTTTCCTGCACATATTAATCGCTTATAATTTGCAGCCATCTGTTAGGAGACCACCCAGACGCAGGACACTTGGTAATTTCAGGCCATTAATTTTGCCCTACATGATTATAGTGCTTAGCTAGAGGACAAACTAATGTTTGCCCACATTTTGCCAACCAAATGGCCGACGGCAGTCAGCTAAACGCAGTTCAGTTGGCATTCGCAATTGCATTTTGATTTTCTATAATTAGTTTCCGGGCACCGACTGAGTGGGTTGCAATCCAATGCAAACTAACACGCGTTTCAATTAAGAGCAACTCCCAAACCCCCCTTGCTGCTGCTGCTGCTGGCCACCCACATTAAATTAGCTTTATTGAGCTGCTGAGTGGGCGTGGCTAGTCGGTTGTCCAGTGGACAAGCCATTAAAAACACTACCCATCTCCTTGGTCATGGCATTGGCATTGGCATTGTCATTGGCATTGATGCAGCTGTTGCAGCAGAATATTACTCACACGCCACGTTGCCCCCGCCACAGGAGGATGCTGTTGCTGTTGCGTGGCAAGGAGTTGGAGGTTCAGGGTGCTATGGCAAACAGCCTTGCCTCGCCTCGCCTTGCCTTGCCTCGTCCTTGGCCCCCATTTATGCACACCACCCAACCATCACCCAACCACCACCCACTTGCCACGTCCTTGAGAGGCAAAGCTGCATTTCATTATGTATGTGCGGTGTGTTTTTTATGTGTAGCTAGCTGCCCGGCAGTGGGATTATTAAAAATGCACACAGCCCATTGACAAATGTCAAAAATAAAATATAAAAAGCGAAAGCGAAACTATGCCAGAATTTAGGTTTCACTCGGGCACTTTGTACCCCTGCAATTAACACGGACCCACTTCAGAAAGGGTTTTCGAATAATTTGTGCCGTAAATTACACCGAATTATGGTGGGAATTGCAGAGAAAGCGATTTTGTTTTCATTTTTACTGGTTGCTTAAGGAACTTAAGGAAAAATACTCGACTTACGAGCAGAGTTAAGGTTTTAATTTTGTTTAGCTTAAATTTATTAAATTTTTAATTCCAGCTGATTAAATAAGCAACGTTAATAAAACTATATGTTGGGGCCAAGCAGTCAGAGATAAAGATCGATGAGCAGAGGTAGGCTTAGAAGCAGCATTTTTTAGAAATTAATGAAGAGAGAACTCTTTTTTGGAAACCTAAAATATTTAGTATATATATTAATTAAAATTTTATAATTTAATTAGATATATGAGAAAAGGAATAATAGATGGATAACTATAATCAAGTGTCAAGGCTCTCAGATGCCTATTATTCGGTTAACCAACTTGAAAACGAAAAGGCTAGCAGCAGAAAACGACGTCTATAATGTTTTATAGAGCCATCTGTTGGCAGAACCAGAAACTAAGGCATGCATATCAACTGACTGCCCATGTAAAGCCTCTTAAACTTAACTTCTTACTAAATTGTGAAATAATCTTACAATTTGGGACATTTTTGGCAGATCGCTGGTTAAATATGAAAAAGGTATATTTGTTAAATTAAAGAAAAAATTTAGAAAATTGTAGTTATTATCCATAAGGTAGAAGAGAGAAAAAATGGGGGAAAAGTTTGGAAAATATCTCTTAAATTAGTTCCCTTCGTTTAATCACATACTACAGGTAAGAGTTCTAAGACTAATATATAGTTTATGTAATCAATTTCTCACTTAATATAAGATTGATTTGAGCAAGTAAGACTATCATATACCCATTACTTAGTTAATAGTTTTCAAAACGAAAAAGCTAGCAGCAGAAAACGACGTCTATAATGTTTTATAGAGCCATCTGTTGGCAGAACCAGAAACTAAGGCATGCATAGCAACTGACTGTCCATGTAAAGCCTCCTAAACTTAACTTCTTACTAAATTGTGAAATAATCTTACAATTTGAGACATTTTTGGCAGATCGCTGGTTAAATATGAAAAAAGGTATATTTGTCAAATTAAAGAAAAAATGTAGAAAATTGCAGTTATTATCTATAAGGTAGAAAAGAGATATAAAAATGGGGAAAATAGTTTGAAAAGTATTCTTAAATTAGTTTCCTTTGTTTGATCACATACTATAGGTAAGAGTTCTATGACTAATATATATTTTATGTAATAAGCTTCTCACTTAATATAAGGCAAGAAAGATTGCTTTAAGCAAGTGAGACTATCAGATACCCATTACATAGTTAATCGTTTTCATTACAAGGAATCTAGCAGCAGAAAAGGATATAATGTTTTATAGAACCATCTGTTGGCAGAACCAGAAACTAAGGCATGCATAGCAACTGACTGCCCATGTAAAGCCTCCTAAACTTAACATCTTACTAAATTGTGAAATAATCTTACAATTTGAGACAGTTTTGGCAGATCGCTTGGTTATAAATGAAAAAGGGTATATTTCTAAAATTTAAGTTAAAGTTAATATTAAGGGCGGTACAGTCATTCTCTTTTTGTAGGCCTAAGAAGAGGCTGAGATGGCATCTCTTTAGAGCCTGCTTGCTTTCTCTCAGTTTTCTAGCTCTTATAGATCTAGCTCTTATGGCTTCCATGATCACGACGCGTATTCGGAAAGTAGGACTAACCATTAGACGTGGATAAATCTATTAACTCTGATCAAGAAAATAGACAACTGATAAAATCGGAAGACCCTTCCTTATGCCCACGGCAAACCTTTCAACAAATACAATATACCCTCTCCAGTCCAGTATAGAGTAGGGGGTATTAAATTAGGTGCAAATAAGGAATAAACTGAACACAAAGCGAGGTAGAGTTCAGCGGAATACCACTTACTTTCGGTAATTGTTCCTTTTTTCGACCATTTGGGTATTATCTTTGCGTCGAGGAAGGGTTTCGAGTGTTGCGCTATCTTTGTTTTCCTTTGTCCTTCTTTTTAACACTCCAATTAAATATTATTTGCAATTATCCTTGCACAGGGTTGAGGGGGTTGTCCATTTTTAAGTCGTAATTGTAGGCGATGTGGGGGGGTGTTGGGCGGTGGGCGGTTTGGGGGACACGTGGGCAACATGGCACAGGTGTTAACCGAAATTGCTGGCAATCAAAATGGTCGTGATGCGTTTTTCTCTGTTTTCTGTTTTCCGCTTTTCCTCTTTTTCTACCAATTCTTTTCATCTTAAACTCCCCATCGCCATCTCTCTCTCTCTCTCTCTCTCTCTCACTCTCTATCTCTCTCTCTTTGTTTAACTGCAGTTTTTCATTTTCGAAGTTTTTTATTTTCTTTTTTTCTTATGAGTTTGTGTGTCTGTGTTTGTATGTGCGTTTTTCCTTTTTCCCCACCGACCATTCTTTGCCATTTTCCGTGTGATTTTTTTTCGTGTGGTTTTGCGGTTTATTTGTTTGCTTTATGCGGCAGCCGCGAAAAGCAATTTCCCGGCGGAAAATCGGGGCAAAGAATTGAAGGTTTTTGCGCGGGGTTGAGTTGGGGAAAACACGAAATGTTAATAAAGGTCCAGTTGCAGTTCGAGTGGCGGAGTAGCCAGGCGATTGTTTGCATTGCCCAGTGTCCACCCAATCCATTTGTCCATCTGTCGATCTGTCCAGCCATCATACTTCTCTCATCCCAGAAATCCCATCCATCCATCTATCCATCCATCCATCCAGCCGTCCGTCCATCCCCCAGATGTCCTGCGTATCCTTTTGGCCGCTTATGTCTGCACCGGCACATTGCTATCGGCCTCCTGCAGAACTGGCGCTGTCCACACGCCGCTGCCGCTGCGCGTCTTCCGCTGCTGAACGATACCGTCCATGATGTCCAGCTGCAAGTTGTGAACGCTGCCGCGATGGTCGGTCAAAGGCGGTCCGGCAATGACGCTGCCACGGCGACTGCCACTGTAAAAAAAACAAGGATTGATATTTAATAAATTTGTTAAGATATGAAATTATATTCTACCTTAGACTCTCATTATGAACCTTAACCGCGTTTCATTACCTTTTTTTGTTTTTGAATTTTCTTTTTACTTTCATTTACCTCATCTTCAGGTGCCTAGACTAGAACAACAACAAAGGTATGCGAAACCATTTGACATTTCAGCTTGGTCTGTTTCAATTTTTACTTTACTGCCCGTCCAATCCCCACATCCATGTGCACCGATAGTAAGTGGTTGATGGGTCTGCGGTTATCACTTTAGCATAAATTATACGCCCCGTTGCCGCGCTACTCTGCCTTGTACCCTCGTACCTCTGTCCCTGGCCACCGCTCATCTCTAGCCGCCGACTTGGGATCGTAAAGTGCGTTGGGCGTTTAATGGACACGCGACTCGAGGGAAATCGAAGGAGGAGGTAACAGGGAGCTGGCCTAGCCAGGCTGGTTGGGATGCAATTTAAATGACCACCACGGGCACACAGAGCTTGGACAAAGTCAGGAGCAAAAGCAATGTGGATGTGGTCAGAATGCCACTAGATTTTTGGACATGGAAAGTCGACGAAAAATACTCTAAGTACAGGAAATAAAATCTACAAAAAATTCTTCTCTTTCTAATGAGAAATAAATATTTGGAAAATAAAAATAAAGAAAGCTAATTTTTGGATATTATTTTTATATAAAGATTTACTTAATGCTTCCCTTTTTCAAGAATATTTTCACATTTACAATGTGTATTTCCTATCAAAAAGTTTTTACTTTCCATTGCTAAAAAAATCATCCTCAAATGAGCCCCAAAAAGTGCGCTACAAAATTTTCTGCATGCCTGAGATTTTATTGCATTTTGGCATTGATTGCTAGACTCATTATTTGGCCTCATCATATGGCAATGACCGGTCACAGTTTATGACAATCTCATTATGCCTCTGGCTATTCTCTGTGCCACAAACCCAGCCACGCCCACTTCCGTTGCCGCCTCCTTAACCATTAGGGTATCAAAATGTTGCTGTCGCAGCACAAAAGCTTGGAAACAGCCGGCGGCGCAATTCAATTAGGCCCAGTCCGGTACATAGAGTCGCAGATAGGAAAAGGGCAAGAACTAGTCTGAGTTAGAGGGATAGATGCACTGGGAGAAAGTAGAGAAAGTAAAGATCTGTACTAAAATTTACATAATTTTAGCAGGTCTACCATTACAGCTTTCTCTCAGTGTAATGATTAACAAAAGGTCCTGCGGTTGCGTGTCCAGCTGGGCGAAACCTCCGCACTTCCGCCAACTCTGATGGCTATTGTTGAATGGCAAATGGTGAATGAGGAGAGGCAGGACGAATGTTCTTACCTGAAGGATACGCCGGAAATGGACTCGCGGCGATTACGTCCGAATAGCGTTGGCGGCACCGCCGAGATGGTCACCACCGAGTGACGACGTCCGCCAGCCGAGGGATTGGCCTTCTGGGAGAGCGTGGCCAAAAACTCAACCTCCTTGGGACTAAGTCCTCCGGTCTCGCCGCCCACCTCCGACAATCGTCGCACCTGACTGGCGGTGATGCCCTCGGTGATTTGGAGCGAGGGCAGGGAATGCTTGCGCCTCTGCTGCATGTCGGGGAAGGGGCACAGCAGGTAGGGATTCACCGGTGAATCCGGCTCGGAGTCATCGCTGTTCGAGCGTCGTGTCCCAGCAGCAGTTGGATCACAGCCACCGGCCGCCCCCTCAAGGTCGTCGCCATCCTCGGCGGTGTGCGACTCCTCCACCACGATCAGCGGCTCCTGGGTGCTCAAGTTGAAGACGGGCGTGAACGAGGAGCGACGCATCCTGGCTGTCCTGGCTTCCTGGTTGATTCTGCAAAATGTTAAGAAAGTAAAATATTAATTTTAATTATTTTTATATATTTTTTTTAAGAACTTTCTAAAAAAAACTTTCTTAAACTCTGAAAATCTAGTCGAAAAATCTGAAAAATTTAAATTTAATATTTAAGAGCCAAGCTGGCTCGTATTTTTGTTTGAGTGCAGCTTAAGAGCGGACAAGTGCTGTTGACATTTTGCGGTCACTGTGCACAGGCGGCAGGCAACTTTCCAGCAATCAAATTCGGTTAGCAAAAATTTAAATCAACTGCGAAAGTTTGCCGCAGCTGAGCTTGATTTTTGTGGCCCAACTTTTGTGTTTACTTTGATTGTTGGATTTGGATTGTTGTCCCAGGAGTTGTTGTTGTTATTTTGTTGTTGTTGTAAATTCGATGCTAAAGAAGTGAAAAAAAGAGAAGAGAGATGAAACAGAAAATAATGAAAACATTGAAAAGTGTCAGATAAACATTGAATCAATTTGTCGCCCCATAAAGCTCAACTGGATTATTGAAATATTCATGGCCCTCCCCTCTCCGCCGCCGCTGCCTCTCCAGTAGTTATGAATTGTGGCTGTGGGTATTACGTTTGACATTAAAATAATAAGAGAAACACGCAGATGATCAGTGGAAATCAGCTTGTTTTTCAATATCTGCAATCTCTTTTGGTGTTTCGCTTTTAATTAAATAATAACAAGCTTTTGCAATCGTTGCCAAATTGCTTAAGCTGCCAGGGACATTGAGAGTAATGCCTTAATAATGGTTGTATCAATGTAAGACAAGGGGAAAGGTGTTATCACTCATTTTTATTACTAACTGGATATCTCTTTTGCCTGATATTGGTTCAGCATAAGTCAAGAAAGGGTTTGTATGAATAATATTTAAACTATATCCAACTTAAAGGTAGGAAAAATATGTCTCCTCACTGGAACACCACGTCCGGCATGCCTTTTCGGCTAATAACTTGGAATTGACCATCCGCTCAACTCATGCCGACTTCTGGAGAGCTTCAGGGCCCCTCATTTTCTGTCATAAAAAACCGATGGTTTAAATATAATTTCACAAGAAACCATAATGAAGTACTCTTTAAGAAATACCTTAGATTTTGTATTGAAAACTAGACTTAATTTTGTTAAATAAAAAAATAATTTTAAGAAATATTTGAGGTAAAGCAAAAAATATTCCTAAATAAATATAAAAACCGTAGTTAGCAGCTCAAGTTAAAGATATTTCTTACAATTTTAACAAATATCAGGCTGTCAAAAAAGTCTTGGGGTATAAAATTGGTTACAATAATGCGATTCAAGTCAAATATGCGCCGTTGTGTTCGATGACGCGTTCCCAACGAGATGCCAACTTCATAATGCTGCCCCTCTCATAGAAGCTCGCTTCCCCATTGGCAGACAACTCGGATCTTCGACCACCTCTACACCAGAACGAAAACGTTGATGCCATCGTTGTGCGGTGGAAATGGAAACTGTATCGGGACCATAAACTGCACAAACATTATTGGCGGCTTGAGATGCATTTTTGCCTTTATCGTAGTAGTACTGTAAAATATGCCGTATTTTCTCTTTATTTTGCTCCATGATTGCGAGGCTAAAACTAACAAACGACTTAAAAGAAAAGACAATCAATCAAATCAATCAATTAGTGCGTGAAATGAGCTTTCCAAAAAGGTATAGTATGACCTGATGCGACGAATTAAACAAGAACTGCGCCCCTTTCAGCGCCAACTAGCGAAAATACCGAAAGACTTTTTTGACAACCTAATAAGAGTATTCTGCTTCTTATAAAAGAAAATATAAAAGTTAATACTGTGAAACCACAACCTAAAGATTGTTTACCAAATGAGAAACCAAACTTAACTTTGGTAACTAACTTTCCACCTGAAACTCGGCATATAAACTCGTACATATACTCAACCATTTTTGAATCTTTTAAAGTCCATAAATTACAATTATTTATTTACGAAATGCAACTATCTAGTTAGCTGGACTCATGGAATTAGCGGAAAGCCTATTAAAATAAAGCCCATAAAAGTGGTTTGACATTAAAGGACGCCCGTGAAATGCCCGGAAAAGTTGCAATTTTGTGGCACAAAAGGCACTTGACAGGCCCTATATTGGTAATTAAGGGACACTGTATCAAAGCGAAATATATGCCATAAAGTATGGCTACCTTGTATTTTTAACGCAAATCCGAAGCCCAATACATTGTTCACCTTTATACTCGCCCCATTCGGGCCTTAATTAGCCTTTGTGCATTATAATTGCGCTGCAGTGCCGTGGAAATTGCGGGGGCCGTCCAGGACAAAGCGAAAATATCCCCAGAGTGCCAAAGGGAGAGTGGGGTGAGTGGCAGCATGGCTCTGCCTGCCAAATCCCAAAACGAAACGACAAAAAAATATGTACTCAGCGGGGAAAAAAAGCCCAAAAAAAACGAAAACGAAAACGAAAATGTCTCAATTAATTGAATTGAATTCAAAATGGAGGCTGCTGCCAGGGTGGGCTGGAAAAATCATAAAATATATATAAAGAAAAACCCTTTCTAGGTCGCAAAACAATGGGGGGAAATGAAGGGGAGGAGCAGAGTGAGGAAGTTTGCAAAGAAAATACCTTTTTAGCCCAGAGGGAGGAACATTGCGCATACGCCGCTTGGGCCAAAGCCGATGCGAAATGTGCCGAAAATGTAAATGAAATTGTTATTAAGCATTAGGAGGCCCATCAGAATCATCAGAATCACAAAAGGCAAAATGAATCCTATCCGTGTGTGGGCAACAAGACGCCAGCTTAATTCCAGGACTCAAGGACCAGAGATGAGAGCCGCCTCGCTCTTTGCAAGTTAAAAATTGCCTGCGGTTGCGTTTTTTTTTATCTCACAACTCATGGTGATGAAAGTGCTTTAAAGCTGGCCTAATTTATCAAGTTAAGTAAGCAGAGGAATAGGGATTTTTTTAGCTATTTAGCAAAGGGAAGGTGGAAAAGATTCTGTCTTTGAATAAAATAAATAAAAGTTAAAGGAGAATAAAATAAGCAAAATTTATATATTTTATAAACATTTTTGATCTTTTATGTATATTTAAAATTTGTTTATTAATTCTTTGTTAACTAAAAAATTAATGCAACTCTTAAAATAAAAGCAGGAACTTCATAAAAATTTTTAAACAATTTCTTTCTACTTTTCCAGAAAGTAAAGTTGGTTCATTAAGTTTTATAGAATGGTTAGAATATTTTTAAAAAATTTTAAAAATAATTATAAAATTAATTCTATATAAAAAGTAATAAAAAGTAAAGAATGGCTATTCTTCTGAATATTCTGTATATTTATATTTAAATATTAACCTTATGTCAAGGCTTAACAAGCCATAAAACAAATTTAGCTGCGAGCTTAATGCCTTAACTGCTAATGCTCCCAGCCCTATGTTAGCTCTTAGTTTTTCCTAAATGTTAGGCTTAGATAAATTAATAAATAAAATAAATAATAGACCATGATAGATCGCTTATAATATTCATAATTTATCATATCTAAATAAGTATTAAATATAAATAGTAAGCAAGATCTTTGTTTCTGTTCCAGACAGTTTAGCTAATCCTTATAATAATATATAATGCTTAAAATATTTAAAATAAAATTAAATTAAAATTAACAAAATCATAAATATATAATCTATTCATATAATTTATAACGTGATATAGCATTAAAAATAATTTTAATAACTAATAAAAGCTAAAAAATATTAAAATAATAAGCAAAATCTTTCAACTTTTCAACCAGGAAGCTAAGTTAGAACTTTTAGTAAGAAATATTCTTGTACTTGGTGGCCCATGTAGCCTTTGCTTTTTGAACTATTGATTATTTTGACTTTGACATTTCAAATGTCATTGTCAATGTTTTAGATATTTAGTAGAAGCTTTGAGGTTTACGCAATGGTTAAGTTTTCGCTTGAAGAAAATTGATACTTTCAAATCGAAGCGTTTTAAAACGCAAATCTTCCATGGGCCATCCTACATAATGGCTAAAATATGTTTATAAAATGAAAACGAATAACTTAATATATAATCTGTTAACTTAAATATTTTATAAGTAAACATTATATATTAAATAAAAGATAGTAAAATATTCGATTACAGCTTCATGAATAATAACAGCTAAGAAGCTATAGTTCGATTTTCAGGTTAACATGGTCAGTAATTTCAACAATATATAATGACTATATATAAACCATCTGTTTTTTTTTTTAAACAGTTGATATTTATTCAGAATTAACAGGTAAACTGCTACCTATATGGCAGCTTTAGCAGGTTTTAAATATAGTTGATAACAAAGTATTGGTATAAAGGTTACAATACAAATGCAATATTTCTATTCATTAACAGCTTAAATTACATTAAATTACAGCTAAGAAATGGGGACAATCCGGGCTCTCTGCTGCCAAAGACGTATACTTGATTTTGGGCACACAGAAAATTAGTTTTTTGGCCATATTACAGCCAAAAATGGTCCAAATGAGAAATGTAATACCTCGTAGGGCTCGTAACTTGATTTCCATGATTCCCAATTGGTTTGCATTCAAATCTGGGAAACTTCATTTTTGGCCCATTTTTGAAAATTTTGATGATGGTACCCCTTATCAAAAATGCGAAAATTGGGCCCAAATTGACTTTCCCAAAATCGAAAATCGAGTGATAGGGGTTGTTAGTATTGGTCGTTAGCGGCACGAAACAGTCGTTCTTTTGGCTGTGCCTCTTGTTTTGACCGAGCTAGAGATTAAAAACCGCAACCAATATTAAATTTTGATTTTTTAGCCATGAAATCAGCACTTGCAGCAAAAGAGCAGTACACCACTGTAAAAAGTGGGTATAGGGGCTTAAAGTGTTGGTTGTGAGCTGCATAAAACAGTCACTGCTTTAGCTGTGCGTCTTGTCTGAGCAAAGTTAGAGCTAAGCAACTGCAACAAAGTCGGGCTCTCTGCTACCAAAAGGCGTATACTTGATTTTGG